CTGTGTAACTCAGAAACCAAATCCTTTTTTCCTCCCCAAAAATTTAGCTAGGTTTTGAAAAACAAATCTGGCTGCAAAACGGACTAACCATCCTGCAGGAAATTCCAAGTGTTCAAGATTTTATTACATTCCAAATTGGAACAACATCTTAAACCTCAGAAGGTAATGAGAATGGGAATATTCTGATTTGGGAAGATATTACCACAGCCAGACCTCTCTCCATCTACCAACACAACTCATGGGGAAAGGGACCCAGCCAGTTGACAGCGGGTGGGAGGATGGAAATCTGGATCCAGACTCACAAAGGAAAGCCTTATTTGGAGCTGGGAGGACACCCAGTGCTGCTGAGGGATTCAGGAAAGCCAGGAACCTTGCAGCCCAAAGGGGCCCAAAGTCAGGCGGGCCATGGTGCCCACACTCCCTGCCAGACAAGCTGCTGAGGGTCTGCAAAGCTTGAGGCCATCAAGGTCACAGTGAGCTTTCTGCCTAGGAGCCAGCACACCTGCCAGGAGCCAGGCACAAGTGACATCCCACCTGGCAGGTAGAGTGGGCCAGTGGCACTCTTCCCAGCTTTGCATCAGAATTTAGTCAGGATCTTCTCATTCTTCAGAGGTCCAAACTTCCTTATAAAGAAGGTGTCCTATCAGAACATCTGTTGAATGTCTCTAGCTCTGAAGGAAAATGAAAACCCTCTACTAAAACACACAGAGTCATGAAATGGTTGCTGTCTGGCAGGAATTGCCCTCGAGTTTCAGACAGCACTTGGTTCTTGAGCTAAGTATGTCACTCAGAAAAGAAAACAAACTCGTAACTTGCAGTACTAAAGTACAGAAGTACTGGCAGTATTAAACTAGAAAGTAAAACAGAACTGTGGCCCAAATGTTAGAGACACTGTAAAGCAGTGTTGTTGCTTGCTGCTGCTTTGAGATTTAGTTTTACATTATTGGCAACCTGAAGTGTTTCAAGATCTTGAGCTGGGCTCTCCAAAAAAAATTTTGACTAAAAATCAGAACAGTTTAAAAAACAGCATTTGGCCTCTGTTTTGTTTGCCTTCTAATTTTGGAACTTGTAGTGCTCATGGTTTCAGATTTTGCCTGGAAATATGAGAGCTGGAAGTTTACATTTTGAAGAAATGAAAGCTGGCATTTTTGTCATCACATGACTCCAAGAGCTGGGGCTTGAGGGAAAAACATAAAACATTGTCAGGCTTTCTACAAAATTGTGAGATTAGCAGCATCAGTTTTATCACAATTTCGGCTGCAAGGTTGACCTATTTTATCAACAGTGCCCTACTGAATATGAATTGCTTTATGAATTTTAACAACCATATTTCATTTTAAATATAGTTCAATTAAAGTGACATTCGTCACTGAGCTTCAAAGCAAACTATTCAATCATCATCCTGGGCTAGACTTTTTCTTTAAGCAAGTGCAAGGAGTGAACTGCACGACCCCTCAAAACTTTGTGTCTCAGACATCCCCTTCAAAGCAGAATAAGACGCACACCCATTGCCTGTCCTGGGGACTAGAGCTCAGCACCATGAGAAAGGAGTATCCAGCCTTTCAAGTTTCTTTCCCCCTCTGCCCCTAGGATGTGACAGCTACAGAGCCCCAGACTTCACCATGTTCTAGAGCAAGGGCACCAGGAAGTAGATTGTCGCCTGACAAGAGACGAGGAGGTCACCAGGAGAGTTCTCCTGGGGCCCTGAAGGACAGAACCAGAGTTAGCCCACGAACTTGCTGAGCCATACTTGGTGTTTGCACGCTCTTTCCTCAGCCTGTTCTACAGCTGCAGATGGCTACAGAGTTGTTCTGAAACGCAGCCTGAGATCTTTTGGGGCTGCTGGTGCACAAGAGTAGACAAAACATGCATTCCAGTTTCATTTCCGGTAAAATAACAAGACCGAGGTGTGTGGGGAAGAAGACCCCAAATATTCAGCAGGCAGAAACTGTTTAAGTGAAAACCATTCCAACACACACACACAAAGGTTAATAGAACAGAAAGTAGTGGGCATGGGAGGATGCATTCCAAAGTGGCATAAAATCAGATGGCGGGAGGTTTAGTTAATGATTCAGAGAAACTCAAACCTCTTCACAAATTAGGTCTAGAACATCCTGAAAAGCAGAAAAAAAGATTATAAACATTTGCCAAAACACAAAATCCCACCTAGATCACATTTTAGCATTTTGAGGTCATACAGTCATATTTAATCTGATCTGCAACTTTTCTCCAGTTTAGCATTATCGCTTTACTCAACTCTCTGTACAGAGAAAAACTGCTTGTCTTCTGTGTTAGTGGCACCTCCTTCCAGCTAATTCAGAAGAGATAGACTTGAAAAAGACATAATGTCATTTAGAGACTCACATGCCAGGTGTATTTTTTTAAGCTCAAGGAACTAAAGCATCTTTCTTCAGCATCACAGATGTGGTTAGTTTAACTGAGCTGCAGTTACACTCAGTATTTTCAGTTCTCTAAGGAGGGGAGAGACATTGCAGTCTCTCCCTAGTTATGGATTGTGTGTATATCAGTGATTGTGTGATGGGGTAAGGAGAGAGGGAACCGTTTCCAAGTTAGCATGCTTAGAGAAAGGACTCATAAATCATGGGGTCAGTCAGGTTGTTCTTTTTTTTTAACCTTAGGGTATTATGTTTTCAATACAATATTTCAAAAGCCTTTTTTTGTGTAATAATTTATCTGGAATTATGGTAACTCTTACAAGCTTAGAAAAAATTGGCTCAAGTAAAACAATTCCTTTGTCACAAATAGGTTGTGTTCATAACTGCAGCCTAATCATTCAATTGCACGTAAGTCAAACAGTTATCCAAACTTTACAAGAATATTTCCCTGTCAATAAATCTAATGCTATTTAAAAACTTCTGGCCAATGTGACAGGAGCCTGTTAGATTAATTAGGGCAAGGTCAGAAAAGCTGAACTCACATCTACATTCATGTCACAATTTTGTTCCACCTACCATAATCTGATTGTAAACTCACTGACCATTTTAAACACAGGCAAGTTAGGGTGACTTCATTGTTTTCATTTACATACAAAGGAAGATTTCTTCAAGAATTGTTTCTTCTCTAACAGTCAAGTAATTGAGGAGAAATGTTTTGCTTTGTATTCACTGTCAACAGTTACCGGACTGCAACCGCGGTTCATGAGACTTCAGGATCATACAGGCACAGAACTGTCCAGACTGCTTGCCCAGTATAATCAAAATCTCACTACAAACAGATCATCTCTGTGGGAATGAGAGGACAGGATTGTCTCTCTGCCTGTTTAACTCTTGACCTTTATCGTCTGACCATCCAAAAGGAGGGTGCCCCAAATCTGATGGGGTTTGTGTGAAGTGGACCCTGACGGTGAAATTCTGACCTCAGCGGGGTCAGTATTTCATCTGAAATCCCTTGAGACAGACCTCCAAATCATTTCTTAGGTTTGCAGCTTGTATCAGATGGTAGCTAGCTGACTTTCATTTACTACTAGCACAGGTCAAACTTGGACCAGGGATCAAGAGATGAAAGGCTCTATATCTCATTATCAATAACCAGTGTTCTCCACTACTCCAAAAACGACATACTTCATTCTTATCTACAAGGTCTTTAAACTTAAAAGGGTTGAGGTCAAATTATGTTACTTCAATTTATTTTTATTCACTGCTTATAAAACAACTTCCCCTCTCACTGCCATAGCTAAACGCTAAAAACGTAAATATTTTCCATTCTATTGTAGTGGTTCCGCTATTGTTTTTCTTTTAAAGTTTTATTAAAGATGCAGCAATAAAGAAAAATCCCTCCCACACACAAACTGAAGAAGAAAAAAAACAGTACAGAGGTCAAGGCCAAACAAGGCCTTAGCAATCTTAAAATTATTTTCAGCAAAGCGCATCTTGTACAGAAGCTGCCCTGTAACAGAGGGGTGGACATTCCCCAGAAGTTTTCCATAGTTATACAAGTCCTGATACTTGACAGAATATGCTCTGAAATGATAGAGCCCAGTTTTCTTCTAGTGTGAAGCCATACAACTCCTCTGATGTTGTTGGAATTAGGTTTTCTTAGATGGGTTACAGTTATGGTTGATAATTTTAGGCAATTAATTCTGAAATACAAAAGAGAAGCTTTGGAAGGAAAATCCTGTTTTTACTGAATAAGGAGAACGTAGTATCCACTTCCACAGTGACTTGCAATGCTCTACACATAACTGCATAGTTAAACAGCCAGAGATTTCACCATGATCATAGATATCTGTAAGATGTCAAACTCCTCCTTTGTTATTCTATGAAAACCTTCACAGGCAAACTGATTTGCATTGTTCCCAAAACAGGGGCATGCACATATGCACGTGGAAGAAAAGTAATGAAATACAGTCAATGGCATCAAAAGAAACTTGTGAATAAATTAAGGAAGAAAGAGGCTAAATAAATTTTACTGGTTATGCTGGGTTAACAACTTTTTCTACCACAGGGAATAAACCTGTAGATACGTAGAACCTACACCGTAGAACCTGCTCTCCTGAATCTAACCAACCTTTTGACCAGCTTCTCATTCACACAATAATTTGCCCCAAATGTTCAAATTTTCCAGACTTCCAGCACCTGGGGCAGAGGGAAGGAGGTACACTCTATTACTGAGAACTGCGTCAGCAAAACCTCAAAAACAAGAGTTGTAGGACAACAATTCCAAACCATCTCTTTCTGGCAACATTTTTGCCACTCCTGATGAAAAAAGGACTTGGTCTTCCTAATCCTTGTTTGCAAGACCAGTTCCTCTCACATCTGGCTCCTGATCCTATAGGAACTGTGTTAATCATAAAAGACCTTCCAGAAACTGACCTTTATTGATTAATGACAGGTAAAATCCTCAATTGTTTCCATAAATAAGATGTAAGCCATCTGCAGAGATTCTTAAAGAAACTATGGCAATAATGCCTGAGGGAAAGCATAGGGAAACAGAAAGGAGAAAAGAGATTGCAGGGGCATGGGAGGAGACGCATCTCTGACCTGGATCTGTTGCTGAAGAAGGTTAATTTTGTGTTGCTGCTGCAGGAGCTGCTGCTGTTGTCTTGCAATCTGTGGAGAAATTGCACAGAGGAAACATGAGATGTGTATCACCATTCCTGGAGTCAGTCCATAGGAAACTTCCACCCTGCTTGGTTCTTTAAACCTCTCTATTAAGCTAAGAAACATTCAAGTACAGCCTGGACTGCTGCTGAAGCAAGGGGCATATATTCGGGAGCAATTCACAGCTAATACTAGTGTTAAAGGGAATCCTATGGAAAATGTTGTGCTGGATATCAAGAGAAGGATTGATGCAAAAATCTGTCTGAAAAGGCACTGCTAAAATTCACCAGGAGGACGAACAATACTGGCAGAGCAACTGGAAAATAGCAGGAGAAGGCAGAAAAGGCCAAAAAAATTATGATGGCCCGTAATATCCTTCTGTTTGGCACCACTTGTTCAAAAATTTAAAAAAAAATGGAAATCTGACACCCTGGAGGAAGGTATTAGTATATGTATTTTTTCGATGCAGAAACAGGCACAAAGAGACTGGAACTGAGTTTGGGAAAATGACTGACTCTTCCATGTGTGTATCAACTGCAAGGAACTAAGGGGGCAGTGCAAGGCCATACAGCTCAACACTGCAACTGGTTTATGGAAGCTGATGGAGTTGTCCTAAGTCTCCTCTCACATTGCCATAAGGACTTCCACTCTCCCTCTCTGTTGACTAAATGATTGGGAATCCTACTGTAGACAGATTTTATACACAGTGAAGGAAAAAACCAGACAGTAGCAGAACCAAATTAGAGCCATTATATACTTCAAACTTCAAGAGCAAATTTAAAAACTTTCATCGGAGTCATCACAAAAGCTCTGCTCTCATGAACAGCTCGTGCAGCAGTATGGACATTAGAAGGAGCATTGCTCTTCCCCTGTGGTATGTGTACACATATCAGGGTCAGTTGGGAACTTATACATACTTACTGGGAGGAATTTTGTGCATTCTTCCCCTCAGGTATTTTCTTTTACTTCTATTATTAGACTATTAGCATAAGAAACACTCACTCATAGTTAACTCCACATCTAAAAGATTGAATAAATGTTCCCCTTCTGGAGCTTTTCTTTAAGTAACCAAAATAATTTTCATCAATACATTTTTTTCAAAGTTTGGTTATTTTAATTTCTATACAATACAGAAGTATACATCATTTCTTCAATTAAAATAAATCCTAGTTATCCTAACAATAACACTGCAGGATTTCTTACTGGCTTTTCCATTCTCTCCATTTTCTTTTTCACTTTCAAGTCATTCAGCCTTCCTGTAGCAGTAGTGATTTTAAAAGGTAGGGTAAAGGAAACAGTTCTTTTGGGATGTCCCCTATGGAAGGAGTCTTGCCAATTCTACACTTGCACCTTCATCTATCTTTATCATGTAAACAACAGCATGATATAAATTCTCTGGTTTAATAGGTAAGCCACTTCTGTTCTCCCTATGTGGGATTTCAGGCGTGAGGCCAAAGCACATTGTTTAAGATGAAGTTTTTAAATAATTAAAAATTGGGACAACCAAGGCTTAAATGTCTGAAGGTATCAGCAGTGGTCTAAAATCTTAAGACTTGCTTGGTAAAATACTAGTACTGAAGCATGACAACTATGACAGATTCCAAAGAATTCTGTGAGTTTCATAAAATTCACATAGTTGCAATTCTATGATATAAACTCAAAATTTTATTCCAAGTTGTAATAAATGGTCATGCAGAACAAAATACTTTCAGATAAGAAGTATCAACATGGACTGCTGATAAAATTTTAAACCAGATGTCTAAGTATTCTTTGCTCACGTTCAGCTACAAAAATAGACATTTGTTTCTGTTAAACCTGTTAGATAAGTTATGTTCTTGTCTAAAATGTCCTATGTCCATGTATGCTCACTGGAACTACTCATATGTGAAAACGTGTTTGCATTTTCAGGAAAGGGCACATTTGCAAGAGCTGAAAATCAAGACTCTCAAGTGTAGAAGAAAAAAAGTCACACTTGTTCACTGACTTTATATTCTTCTCTGCTTCTTTCCACAGTTGGCAAAACCAACCTTTTCATTTCTCACATTACAATGCAAGTGCTGTACTTTGTTCCTTTTATTCCTATTCAGTATTACTAAATTCAAGCAGGATTGAAGATTATTCAGGAGGACTGAATTTACTTGTTTGTTTACACTTAGTTTAAAAAAACAAACAAACCCAACAAACCAGTATTGGAAGAAAATACCTCCAAAATGGAAGGTTCATAAGGTGTGTAAGGTTTCTACAACAAAGAATATCGCTTTACATATTTCAGATTAAATCATTCTTTTGCTGTTGTTCAAACTTTTTCACCGAGGAAAACAAATTGGAAAAAAAAATTTGGGGCGCAGAGCAAATTTTAGAGTACGATGCCTGAGACATAAACTACTGGAAAATCCTCCAAAAAAATTATTTAAGCTGAAAGCCACTGTAATAATCACTCACCTGTTCCTGTTGCTGCTTAGCCAGCTCCATTTGCTGGCGTTGTTTCTCGATCTGTGATGCAGCCAGCTTCTTCTGTTCATCATGAGCTGCTAGCAGCTGTTCTCGCAAACTGGTCAGCTGATTGATCATACCCATGAGCTGCCTTTCTTTCTCAGCGAGGCTTTCTGGAGTCCCTGGGCATCATATGGTGGGGGGAAAAAAAAAAAAAAAGAAAGGGTAGAAAGAAGAGAGGAAATTTAGAGCCAGCCAGGTTTTTATTTTGCAGCTTTACTGTAAGCAAAGTTTCAGCAGAACAAAAGAGCAGCAGCATATTGCAATATACTGCACAATAAGACCTGTTTCTCTACAGGAAGATGAGCAATGAAGGATAATTCTGTATACAGGCTTTGATCTGGTGTCCCCCTTCAATGTTTCCTTGTCCTTTCATCTATTTTTCCATTGCCCTTTTATCGGACTAATAAGGGGAAAAAACACTGCCTGTTTTGAAAGAGTTTCAAGTTTTAAACACTGTTTACGTTTCCTGTGGATCAAAATCAACACTTCCAGTTTTGAAAGACAATTATATTTTTGCCAGAAATTTCTGATAGAGATACAGCTTCTGTAGGTGTCAAAGCACTGGTGTAAGCCATGTATTAACATCCCTCTATAACCAAGGAAAAGGAGAGAAGTCTCCTGGGTATCTCTTGAGGCTCCCCACAGCCTTCTCACTGCTACCAGTGCACAACAGCTTTCAGGATGTTGTTATATCATCTACAGCTGCCCTGATTAGGATGAAATGATATAGTATTTAAATTACCAATAACTACTATCACTGTTACTGCCACCAATGTGTATTCTTAAAGGAAAAAGTCTTGTATAAACATATCTGAAAACCCGAGTCAAACGCGAGTGGCCGTCGCTCTCATTTGTACTGTCATGAGATGTTTCTTATGGGAGAGTTCAGCAGACACAGACAGAGGAACCCACTACCTCACTTTCATAACCATTTCATAAAAATGCTTCGTCTACCCAGAAGGACAGTGGTTATAAGGCAAGGGAAGCAAAAAATTCCAGGAAAAATCAAAAGCTATGAATCATACACTACAAAAAAGAAAAAAAAAGGCTCTATTAATATATGCAGGATCATTTGACTTTGAATTTAAAAGACCTGAAAATATGTGTAGCAGCTAATCCACAGATATCCCCAATACCACCACACCCTCTCACATGAGTCAGATCCTATGAAACCCTTTCTAAAAACCTTTAGGAACGGATTAAGGCTATCAGTGTCAATGCCTCCTCTGAAAATAGCCTGCTTTTGGGACAACCCTGCCACGCAAACCTCTCTCAAACACAGGAAGCATTCTTCTGCCAATGTCACCAGTGCTCTCCAAGTGAAAAAAAAAAAAAAAAAAGGAGAAAAATTGGCGACTATACTAAACATGTTCCTAGCCAACTATCAGTCAGACATGGAAAAGAGCTACTGGTAATAGCTCATTTAGTCTACCCCCCTGCCAGTGCAGGAATGTTCCCTACAATGTATTTACTACAGCTTTCTAGACTGGATTGAAATGTCTGAAATGGTGAATCATCCAATGCTTGCTTTGGAAGACTGTGCCACAGCCTTAGAGGTGTCACAGGGAGGGCTCTTTGCTTGATAGTTAGTTTAATTTACTTTCACTTAATTTCAACCCTGTGCTCCCTAGCAATATCCCATTTGCTACGTTAGCCAAGTCCAAGCCCTAAAATACATTTGTAGACAGCCATACAGAAGTGGAAAACCAAAAAGAATCAACATCTTCATATTAAGGAAATGCAACTACATTAATTTTTTATTAAGATGCTAGAAATTTCTGTGAAAATATTCTCACCACATAACAAAGAACTACAGCAGAATATCCTCAGATATAGTCTCCAAAAAAACTGTGGTACAAGCTGGAAACTTGAGAAACACACTGAAACAGAAACCGTAGGACTTTAAACCTGCTCTGTTAAAAGCTGTGAGAAAGAATGGAAGCCAGTGCTAAAACACTAACACTGCTGAAGAAAACACTTCTAACTATGATTTTTATTTCCAGCATTGGAGACAGAGAACTGCTACAAGTAATGCATTTGCTACTTGGTCACGGAATTAATCAGAAATTTCTACTGCCACTCTTCCACCCTTTATTTCTTTTTCCAGAGGAAAAAAGTTACAGTGTTTCCAAGTGGAATAGAAGAATTGTTCTAGAAGGCAGTCCCTGCCTTGTCCTGTCCATGGTTAACATGTGAGTTTACTCTAAGGAAGACTTTCAGTACACTGATACCGCCAGTATAACTGGAACATCTGAAAACTAAATATTTTTTATTTCCTTATTCAGCAGATACTTTATTCTAAACTTTCGCTGAGGGGTGGGTGAGTGCACGAGAGAGAGAGAGAGGAAGAAGGATCTAGAGAGAGAAGGAACACAACATTGGCTCAGTCCTCAAGTTAGGGTAAGCAGAAAGAAATCACTGTCAAATAAACTGTTCAACAAATACACTGACACACATCAAAGATCTTCAGCCAGTACCGGTTCATCAGTGTATTTTGAGCTCCTACAGTAGCTTTCAGTTGGGAATCAAAAAGCACTTTGTAAAGTTAAATTAATCCCCACCACACCTCTGAAAGGGGGGAAAAATGTTTCCATATGTGCAAACTGACAGACAAAGGGGTCACAGAGTTAGTTACCAAAAGAGGTAGAAAAAAGCCACGTTGATACCCAGCCCTGTGCGTCAAGGCTCCGGTTGCACTTCCCGAGAGGGAGCAGAACACTCTGGGTGCCACTGCCCTGACCATGACACTGAACATGGAACAGCCACGGGGCCATCCACCTACTGTGCTGCTCCTTTAATCCCACTGGCCTACAGAGCAGCAAAATAACTTCTTCCCTTTGGAAAAATGCAGCTTTACTGAATTGCAAGAATAAGAAGAAAGTCTGGATGAAGTACTGCATCCATCTCTGGGATCCTCAGCACAGGAAAGACATGGACCTGCTGGAGGCTGTTGGAGGAGGTACAGAGGAGGCCATGAAGATGATCAGGGGGCTGGAGCACTGCTCTCATGAGGAAAGGTTGAGAGAGTTGGAGCTGTTCAGCCTGGAGAAGGCTCCAGGGACACCTAAAGCAGCCTTCCAGTACCTAAAGGGGCTTATAAAGATGGGGACAAGCTTTTTAGCAGGGCCTGTTGCAACAGGACAAAGGGTAATGGTTTTAAATTAAAAGAGGGTCAATTTAGATTAGATATGTGGAAGAAATTTTTTACAATGAGGGTGGTGAAACACTGGAACAGACTGCCCAGAGAGGTGCTGGATGTCCGATCCCTGGAAATGTTCAAGGTTGGGTTGGACAGGGCTTTGAACCTGGTCTAATGAAACGCGTCCCTGCTCAAAGCAGGTCAGCTGGACTTAATGACCCCTAAAGGTCCCTTCCAACCCAAACTACGATTCTATGAACTAAGAGCAAGCAGGCAGTGCAATGAAGTGCCAATGCAGGCACTACAGTCACAGGCACATTGCAGCCTTGCAGCTGGTGACAAACCCACCAACTCAGTCTCTTCATTATTACTTAGTTTTAAAAGAAAATTTGAGATGCCCAAAGGAGGTGCTCAGTAAGTACAATGCATAATTCCTTTGGTGCATAAACTGGAGTGGAAGTAGTCTGACAAAAGGCAGACTTCTTGCATTATATTTCTTGGGCAATTTCAGTTTGCTAATATACCAAAAGGGAAAATTTATCAGCATCAACTTTTTAAAAAAATCTCCTGCTGGAGAATACTTTCTGGAAAACATGGCTTAGTAGGTACTTTATTTTCATGTGACTAAGCCATCCTTCCAGTAACTGGAATAGTACTTAGTGATAATTTCAACTCTTTAAGGTAATAATTCCTTGCAAAATAAGTACTTGGATAGCCATGCTCTCAAGCGACCTGCACAAAACCAGAGGTAAGAGAGATCAGATGTGTGGGTCTACTGGGAGATGCTGAGTTTTGGGGTAGATTTCCCTGTGCCTTACCCACGTATCTATATAAGCCCCACTGACGATGAATCACAGAGAGTTTGGAAGTTTCTTGCAGATAACTGATGACCTATAAAAGTGTGAAAATGAAAAAGAAGAAAAAGTACTTGAATGAGACTGTAATAATGAACTGTTCGTGTTTAGTTTCAGTTTGGTAATTTTTATGTTACTCCTATTACCTAGCACATTTTTTCTATAATTACTTTCATGAAAATGGCCAACAAAACTGCCATTTCACAGGTGCCACTACCATTGAGCATTTATGAGTGGCAGTGTTTGTTTATCATAGGAAGGCCAAAGGACGTTCACTGTGATTTATTAAATGGGTGAGGTGAGGGCATAGGTGGAGTCACCACTTAAGTACAGTCAGTGATAGGAATTATTCCTGGTGCATTAAAATGCACTGCAGCGTTGAGAGTGAAAGTTGCCATTTTTGTATCCTTTTCTAGGTGCTGTAGATTGTGGGCAAGCAAGGATGGTGGACTTCTGTCCTATCCTCACTATTTTCTCTCCGTTAACCTGCATGAGATCTAAACCTGTATCATGGTGTGAAGTGTCTTGGCAGCTATGGGATTTCCATTTTAAGAATTCTGTAGCTTACAGGGCAAAACATGTCAGTATTTTAAGTAACAAAACCAACAGTTTCTTAAATTATGCTACTCAGGAATTAATAAACTATCCCCACGGCTGGTAACACTGCTAGAACTCGGAAGGTGGTGCAAACCCCCAGCCCCTGCAGCTACCTTCAGTCACTTTGTTACTAAACTCACTTGGAGCTGCTCCAAGCAGGACAGAGTTGGGAATGGTTCTGGAGCTGGCCTGTACTCTACGTGCACTATCCACACAGTTGCAGTGCTCTCACTCCAGCCATCCAGTGTGGCTGGGAGGAAGAAAAAAAAAACAAGTGTCCATTATTGCAGTGTACAACTTGACAGCAAGCTAGACCACTTCACACAGGTATTGAGCGAGGAGTAAAAGTAGAGTGGCTTACATCAATGACTGCCTCAAAAATTACTCTTAATTACCGTCTGATCCACAACAAATAGATATTGCACATTTTATGTTTGACAAAGCTTTTAACCACCAGGCCACCTGCCTTTCAGGAGATTGCTGTAGGTGCTCATACTGTTCTCTCTGTACTCTATCACCACAATGGTAA